ATATATATTATATTATATTATATGGCTGGCTTCCCCATGAGAAACAGAGTCATCACATGACCCCTGCAGAAAGCATAAGATACATTTGTCAACTCATCACACTTGGATCAGTGCTGCTGAGGCTGCAAGAGATTCAGTTACCTTGAGCAAAATAAGGTAACAAGAGGACAAGTGCACACGCTAGTATGTGACCTAAATTTTATGCCCACTCCACTCTTGTAATGTAAACTCATACCAAGGAGGTTTATAAAACTTTGCATTCCCATTCCCATGGCAGTTCCAATTATTCTTAGCTGTTAAAAAAGAAAGAAAATCAGAATAGACAGCTACTTTTAAACGGCCATCAAAGGAGAAAGAAGCCCCCCGCCCCCAACATGATGTGGCTAAATGAACCACACTAACCAGCCAAACTATGAACTCTTTCGAATCCCTAGATCAAACGGTAAAGAAGCACCATGCTTGTCAACTAAAATACATGATTTTCTTAGAAAATTCAGCTGCCTGGGCTCAAAGCAAAACAAAGTCTGGTAGAATCTTTTGAAGTGCTACTTTCATGTTGAAAGCAAAAATGCAGCTGTGATTCTTTTCATTAATTATTAGACTTGAATTTTGTTGCAAACAAGATTTTGTCGACCATGATTCTTCATATTAAAATTAAGCAATGAAGAGGTATTCAGCAAATGAAATCATGGTATCAGTGCAGATATCAAATGAGGTGTATATAAGGTGCATATACAGCACATCTAATCTACCAGTCAGTTTTTCTGTGCTGTTTTATCACATGGGCTCACAGCACAAATACCTTCTCAAACATCTCATTCACTTCAGTAGTCCTTCAGCTGAAGTCCCTTTGTCTACTGCTTGTTTCTCACACAGGCTGCTTCGATCCACACCAGTTCTCATAATCGACTGACCTTCAACTCCACCAGACGATGGCCTGTCCATCATAATAACTCTATTTCTGCAATGGCTCTTTTCTTGACTCTGGGATTAAGCAGTGCTTTATCCTCTTGTAAAGCCTCCTCTTCCTAATTCTTCATTTTATACCAGTAAGATTTAGAGCTCTGTAAAAATGACTATTATTATTTTTTTATTATATTTATTTATTTTATAACAATTTATTATAACTTATATATTTATATTATTATAATACTTAAACTAATAACAAAACATACTTACAGTCGCTGATTTAGAAATTAATCTTGATTAGACTAATCTTGATAAGATTAGACTTGAATCAGTGAACTGTTTCGTTCAAATCAGTTTATTTACATGAATTGTTCGAATGAACCAATTCACTAACGCAAATCTGACTTTGGTAGTGAAGTTACCGCATCTATCAGCAGGGCCCAACTGGGCTGTTCTAACCAGTTAAACCCCGACTTGTTGTGAAGATGTGACTCCTTGACCAAAATCAAGCAGTTTTGAGTCAGCCAGTGAGACATCACCCCGAGAGAGAGAGAAAAGGGCAACCTTTGGAGAGTGTTTTGACCGCTTGCAGGTTCAAGAAATGATGGAAAAGAGTGATTATATTATTGAAAGACAAAAGCAGAAAGGATATAGGACAGATATGTCATCCCTAAACGAGTCTCTGTCTTGCTGGGCTTCAAATCTAATTTCAGTCTGATGGAACGTCCAGCACAGTGTTGATTCTCTTCTCAGCTGTACTTTGTCTCAGCTCACTCTATGAGGCCTGTTATTGTGATCTGACACACTGATAGTCATTGTGAGAGTGCCATAATATACTCCTCTTCCTCTCTTCATATCTGTTTAAGAACACACAGCAGGCCATCTAACTTTCCTCTCAAATCAATTATATCTTTGTATAATGGACTTTTTTTCTTTCAACTTTCCTTCTTTTCACTGATTATTTCTTCCACCTCCTTCTGAAAATGCTATTAAAATTATTATTCAAATGATTTTGGGACAGTTTTGACTTGAAAATGTGCAAATGGTATACCTCAAACACAGACTATTAATTTGCATCAACTATTCATTTATGAACTTTTCTCTCCAATCAATTTTATCTTTGTATAATAGGCATTTTGTTTTAAATTTCCTTATTTTCACAGACTTCTTCCACCTCCTTTTCAGAATGCCATTGAAATTGTTGTTTAAATGATTATGTGATGTTTTAAATTGAAAATGTGCAGATTTTCTATCTCAGGCCAACAGAC